CCCTTCAGATATCTCAAGAAGTGCAAGGAGTACAGACATGAACCTTTCCTGGGATTACTGTCCTCTAGGGACCAAACTAACTTATGGAAATACAAGTACCAGGAAGATCTAAGTAAAGAAACTAAGAGGATACTCTGAATTTGTATCTTAAACATTTTTTCCATGCCACACTGTAGAAATACAATGGAAGAAGAACTGGTAACTACCATCCATATGCTACACTACAAAATGACTAACAGAGCACAGTGTGAACATTACTCCTGGACTGAATCAAGAGAACGCATTAAAAATGCGTAAGTGGAATACTGATAGACATTAACTCAGTCTTCTCTTATTATGGAATTAAAAAACTTATACCTGTAATTATGGCTTACCCTCATTACAGGCAGAGCTGCCACAGAGCTGAACACGGGCCAGCTTTGTACATGAGTTCAAAGCCAGGGTGATGTTGCCTTATTTTCTTACTAACATCATCTTTATCCTCTCTTGCCCTTCTTATCCGTTAACAAGAGTTATGTACTGAAAGTGCTGAGATAAAGTAATGGTAAGGAGGATACCGCAAAAGGTATTTGAAAAGCAGAAGTAATTTACTACATGTCTGCTTTGTTTTACTTCCTAAGCCTTCCTGTTGTGAAAGGAAATTCATCTTTTCTGGCAGACTCCAGCCTTTTTAGGCCTGAGAGCTCCCCAGGAGCTTTCGAGTGCAGGTAAATGGATGTGAGATTCAAGGAGTACAGTACAAGGAACATGGAATTAATGTTGGTTTTTGCTTTGGCTGTCATGTCTGACGTATAAGGAGAGTGCTACATCCTTGCTTGCAGTAAGTGTCTAGATGTAAAAAACACAAGGCTGAGTCCTCTGCTCATTACTATGGGTCTGAACTTCCACGAATGGAAAGGTCGTGTTGCTGGTGGGTGAAGCATGTAGGATCTACACCCAGCAAAGTCTCCACGTGAGACAGATGTCAGAGTGCTCCGAGTCCCAGGGGCCCGTGAAGTAAAAGCGCAGAGGAAGGACTGTGGATGGACAATAGGTGCAGCCTGTATTCTGCACGCAGCAGAGACCCCAAGAGTAGGCACAGGGGAAGCATCCACTGCCTAATCTAAATAGCAGAGTGGTTTTGTCCTCTTCTGTTCTCCTGCCAGTTTGCACATATGTTCTGAGTATGCAGCCTGCCCTCCAAAGACCACTTACAGGGGCAATCACAGGGAAGCAAAGCAGGAAGAAAGTATCCAAAAAGGGAATTTGTTCAAGAGAAAAAAATGGAGACAGATGTAGAGCGACTAGTCACGGCTGGCGGTAAATAACCCTCTGCCTGGAGTGCTCTCTTTCTCTAAGAGAGAGTTCACATATTCCATTTCATATTTCCTTTCTAGGAAGTCAAATCTTTGTTTTCCTGGCATTTGTTCTTTTTTTTTTTTCTTTCCCCTGTATACTTTTTCCCTTCTGTATGGTCTAAAATTGTCTTCTGATTTTCCCTTTCTCTTCTACGTTGTGCTCTCTTTCAAGTGCGACATTTCTCCAATCTCTCTCTCATGCAGACCTAACTTCCCTGCGCTGTCCCAGGCAACACCTTTCGCTACAACCCTCGCGTAGTCTCTGTGCCACGAGCACTTCCCTCTGTCTCTACATGTGCATAAGCGTACGGGCGCTTCACATCTGCTCCCCACTTTTTGTTATGTGCACACCTCAGAATTAAGCAAATGCAACACACACAGACAGAATATTCATCCTCTCGCTCCCATAAACCTGTCAAGGCATATAGGCCAAGAAGCTATCTCTGCATAAATCTAAATCTCCTGTGAGGAAGCAATCTACTCAAAGGTAATAAAGCCAAAGGATGTATTATTATCTTTGGTGTGGATCCTACTGGGCTGGGAGGCTGGCTGCTGGCTCCTCTCTGAACTTTCCTACCCAGCCAGAACAGCCATCCTACAGACAAGTCTAAGCTTCCTTTCCTTGGTCTGATTTCCTCCTCCTGTTGTTTGGCCGGTAACCCAAAGGATAGGGTTTAATTATGGAGTTTGGAAACCTGGCTTACGCTACTCTGCCAGCACAGGATAAAACTTCAGCCTGCCTTCCGAACCAGCATCATTCTGCACCGTTGATACCTGCATTATCCCACGCAGCATAAAATGAACCACATGGAAGAAATGCCAAGTCAAACAAAAAGATGGTTTTAGTCTTTAAACTTCTACTGTGAATTTCACTAAGGAAAAAACAAAGCACTAAAGCTCAGACATTATTGTATGTTAAAATCGTGCCATCATTTTGACTGTAGATTACATAAATGGCAAGGCCTTTTTCTGGACAGGAGAGACATCGGAAAGGATGGATCTGAAAATGGTCCAGGCTCTAAAGCTCCTCTGTGAGAGGAACGCTGCGGCAAGCCACCGGGTAATACAGGATGTTAACATCATTTGTACGGCTTTCAGATGACCAATATATTTTCTAGGCAGATGCCCCATTGAAGACTCATAAAACATTTTACACTTCTGGAGATAAAGCACCCATGTCAAATACAAAGGGCCAGACGTTAATATCAGACCCACGTGTGATGTCTGAGGTAAGGCAGGGCACTGCGCACAGACCACAGCAGGATGTGTCCCTTGGAGGGGGAGCACCTTGTGCCAGTGACATACCACTGTTGCCCTGGCACAGAAGGACACTTCAGTACTGTTTTGTCCTTCACCACTGATGAGCTGTGGCCCCATAGGTCATCCCTCTGCCAGCCGTGCTCTTGCAGTGACCCTGTTTAGCAGAGAAGCTGAGGCAATGAATTCAGAGGACAGGCTGCTGGAAAGCCACAGCAGAAGTATTGGGGTGGGGCTGCGTGGATAGAGCATAAAGATGGTTTGAGAGTGCATCCCACGCAGGCAGGATAAAGCCTTCATAGCTGTGACAGTGATAGATAGCTTGGTGAATCTGAGCTATAACTACTTGGTACCTGGCTTGAGTCCCTGATGTTGCAACGTGATTTTCTGCCATTTTACAGGCAAGACTAAGCAGAATCTGGGATTTTTCTGTAGTAAGTGAGGAGGGTCATGAGGAAGGAAGAACCTTCTCTTCTCTGATTTGTTCTTGCCTTTCTGAGCACCTCAGGAAGTTTGACATGGGCAGTTGTGCTTCTTCAGGACGAATACCCAGTGGTGCCAAGACCAGCGGAGGTGCTTTGGAGGTGTAAAGCTTTAGGTACTTCTCCTGTCCAGCTCAGCAACTCAGTGCCACCATCTAGGCAGGACTTGGATGAGACAGAGGTAATGACCACATGTGGAGAAAACCACCAGAAGTGACAGCAAAATTAATAGCCAACCTCTGGCTGTTGCCCAAATGGAGAACATTTGTCATTAACAAAGAGTACCCCAAACTTTGTGGGGAGTTATCCCCCGGTCTGACAGTGATGTAGAAGCAGTGACCCAGTCAGCTTTTAGCCATCTGTGTCTGCAGAGGAGGTTGTGATCTCTCCCCTTCAATGGGCGCTGAGCTTTTGTTCGTGTTTTTGCCACTCCATGAGCAGAGTTGTTTAGTACGAGGTCAATCTTTGCCTTACATCATCTGGAGCCTGGAGCTGATGGAGAAAACAGCCCCTTGTGTCTACTGAGCAGGACACCTCACTGCAAACACCAGAGCCCTGGGGACGGCAGCGGCAAAGCAGTCACGGGGAGCCTGGCACTTGTCTGCCTGCAGGTCTACCCTCTCCTCCTGCCAAAGTGCCACATCTGCAGTCAATAAGGGCCCACAAGCTGGCTCCTCCTCATTAGACGAGAGAGGGCAGCTGGCAGGGGATCCTCCAAGGGCTCCCAGGCGCGGGAATCAGTCCCCTCCCAGTCTGGAATAGCCCAAATTTGGTGACTTTCTGGGCATGCTGTAAAGGACAGCTGTTTGACAGGGTCTCCAGAGAAAGCTGTGGGTATGTTTCCTACATGATGAAGGATATAGGTGGCTGGCCAAGTGCCCACAGAACTGATTTTAATGCTGTTCAGGTTGAATTTACTTTTCTGTGCTGTACAGTTCATTATACACAATGCCCTGGACAAGCATGTGTCATTTCAAAACAAACCAAAACCATACCATTTTAAATCCAAACAAACAAGAAAGAAACAAAAAAAAGGTATTGTGAAAGATCCTTTGGGCTGTTTAGAAGGCCTTCTCAAACACTGGGAGGCTAAAGATGAAAGCATTGCTTGCCTTCATCTAAAAAATAAGACTTCTGTTATTTTTATTGGCAATAAGTATTGAGTGTTTAGCTGTAAGCAAAACTGAGGCATTAACTTCACCTATGCATGTAGCACGCACCCAGAAAAATATTTTCAATAGTATTAAGCACCCAGATGATCTCAAGAGAAGTGATCAATGGACAGTTAAGCATGTCACATAACATAACCCAAAAGATGATCAACAAGAAAGATCACACACAAAAATTAACTGAGAAAAGGCAGAAGAGCTGCTTCCTAAACCTTATAAAGTGTAACACCCGGTGATATCTATTTTGATATGAAGCCTCCAATCACACTTCATGGTATTACAGAATAGTAAAACAACTCCTTCTGTAAGTCTCTTAGAAGTCATTACTAAGTGAGCTCAAGTGTTGTATAATGCTTGAAAAGTCCTTCTACCTTGTATAAATTTAGGGATATTTATTTAAACAGTATAACTGTAGGGCACAGCCCAGGCAGGTACTGCTTTTTGCTAAGCAATTGTCATCGCTATCCCAGAATTGAATCTGGACGTTTTGACAGAAAAAGACTGCCTATTTCTTGCTGCATTATTTAAATACTTCAGATATTTGGCCAAAATACAGAAGTGACACACTATAGAAACATTCACAGCTGCAGGAGCAATAAAACCACTTCAATATTTTCATTAGACTGACCTTTTCTCAGAAGAAGTTACGAGATGTTTAGAATCGATCACCTTTCTATACAGCATTCAGTGTGTTCTGATAATAAAACTGAGCAACTGGAGATCATGTTCTGGGGCTCCTGAAAGCCATGGCTTACCTGGCTCCACTTCATGCCATCCACTTGACTGGCTGCCACTTCCTGGAGAGCGCCCTTGGCTTGTATAAAACGGCTCCTCACCAGGACTGTCCATCTCATCCTCCACAGACTTGAGACGTTTTGTAGAGCTGAGAAAGTAAAAACACAGAATAAATGCTGTATGTATGGAAAGGAACAAAGGCACTTCTGTTGGAACGTATCTTGCTAGCCCTGCTTGAGAATAACTTGGTTATGGAAACTATCACGGATTTAGGGTTCTGAGAAGAGGAAGGTGAGTCCTGCACAGCCATCCTGCCTGCCCAGCATCCACTTTTTGTTTCTGATGTGCTTCACTGCCAATGAGTAAGCTTCAGTGAGATACGTAACAACCTCTCACAGAGTCCAGACTGAACCCCTAAACAAACCTTAGTTTAACTAGAAGATAGTTTAGCATTTAGGCTTTTACAGATCAAAAAGTAGGACATTTTTCAAAGCACGCAGAGGTCAATGAAAAGGTAAGAATTTAATTTGTATTGCGTGATTTTTCCAATTTGAATGAATATGATAATGACACCCACAACTTATTTTAACTGTCAGATTTTTCCACAGCTTATTTGGAAAGACAAATTGTTTATCAGTTCAAACTTCTATCTTCAATCTTTTAACCGTAGCCATTAAATTAACCCAGACTTCAGTCCCATACGAAGCAGCACAGACAAGTGAATGATGGAAGAATCCGTTCTTGGTGTAAATGTTCACGTTATCCTACAAGTATAAGCATTTCACTCTGCAACTGTATGCCACCAAGCAAAAAAAGCCCCCAACAGGTATCTCTGGCCAGTGTCAGTACTACAGGACTCCCTTGTGATATACCACACCTGCATACAGGACAGTACTACAGGACTCCCTTGTGATATACCACACCTCACCAACTTTGTGGGGAGTTAGCCCCCGGTCTGACAGTGATGTAGAAGCAGTGACCCAGTCAGCTTTTAGCCATCTGTGTCTGCAGAGGAGGTTGTGATCTCTCCCCTTCAATCCCCTCCCCATGGGCTCAGGAGGCAGAAGAGCCCTTTCAGTGGTCTCTGGTGGCCCCTGACTTGGTCTCTGGTAGTTTTGTGGGGAGAGGATCCCAAAGGCAAAGACACTCAGCTTGGCTCTGTTCTCTATAATGAGTTGTACAGACTGCGTGGGGACATTACCGAGAATTTCTCTTCTAAGTACTTTTCCAAGGCTGGGTCAGCTCACTTTTTTCACCAAATCTGTATTCTATTAAGACTTAAGGCATTCAAGAACAGGCTCCTCTGTGTAGGGGGAACATATTTAACAGACATAAAATATTCCACTGCAATTTCTATTGGTTTAAAACTTGCAGCCTCCCCGCAGCTCCCCACCCAAAGCTCTGCACAGGTAGGAGCTGGCGGGTATGCAAAATCAGTTTGTGAGAAACAGGAAGAATAAGTCTTGCGGTATGCACGGAATGCAGGTTTGGCCATTCCTTAATTTAGAGAATTGTTATGTGTCAATAGGGGAAATTGTGTGCATACAATATAATTACCGTCTGATAATTCTGCTGAGTCTGTGTATTTAAGGAATATTTTTTTTTCTGACTGGGAACAGCCTAATGAGAGGAAAACAAACATATTACCAAGTTATTAACTACCCATGCTGTTTATAATTAGCTCCTTATCAGTGGTAGCTATTTGCAGAAGAATAGAAGAGCAACAACTGAGCTCTTAAGTAACATTAATAACCTCACTTTTTTGCTTCTGGAGTCACAAGTAAATTCTACCTGAGAATGGTGCTAATGATGAGCACTGTAGGGTACGCAGTTTACAGACAAAAAAGAAAAAGCACAAAGTTTTTAATTGATGTGTAATGGGAATTGTAGTCACTGAGCTTCATAATGTGCACTCTAAGTGCAAGATGTAGAATGTTCTTCCAATCACTGCAAACTGTAAGAAGTTATTGCTAAGAGCCTCTCTTTAAAGATATTTTTTAAAGTAAAACCAATAGCTATATTCAAACTATAGAGACTTTTTACATGTGTGCTTGCTTACTGCAAAGCTGGTGGCACTGCAGACTGAGATAAAAACGTAAAAGGAACCTGGGCTGAAGTTAGACTTTCTTGTCATGTCTTTCAAAGAAGTGATCTATTTTGGCTGTGGGGGAAAAAAAAAAATCAATCTGGTTCCTTAATAGTGTTCAAGACTACTAGAGTGACTGGGCTTGTTTATAAATCTAATCTCATGGATGGCTGAAGTGAAAGGTAAAAAATAAAAAGTATCCTTGTTTGACAGTTGGCATCTAAGCCAAAATCAAAATCAGACTGGGTAGTCATCTGCATTAACAATCCGTTTTCCAAAGGCTGAGTCACAAATTTCTAAATGCTATAGGAATACTAGAATGCATTATAGGCAAGAGTCCTAAACCAATGTTAGTCTCACAGATGATACTTTTTACGATAAAGAATGCACATAAGTCTATCTATCTTAAGACTTTTCTACTAGGACAAAGTGGCACATCTCAATATGCTCCACATTCTCTTCCACCACAAGTAAAACTTCAATTCCAGTGAAACTTCTGAGATACAAGCCAGAACTTAGACAAGTCAAGTTTTTCTTCAAAGCTTGTACATACAAAAAGAACTTTAACAGCAATCCAGTTGAACATTCAGCGCTGTGAATCTGAAACAGCTCCACATCTTGAGGCCCCCAAACAGCTTGTCAAAGAATTTAATGGTTACTTTCCCAGATGAGTAATGATGCTGGCCTGGGTTTCCAAGTAACCTGGTAGTAGGCAGAGATTAAATTACCTGGTAGAGGATGTGCTAGGTAAAGACCTCCTCATTGCTCCCGGGCTCATGCTGTAGTATGAAGAACTTTCCAAATCTGAGAGGGAGAAATTAGGGCCTGTTCCTGCAGCTATCGGTGCTGGGGAAACAAAAGAGATTGCAGTCAGTAAGTCACGTGAACAAGGCATGAATTGCACTTCAAAATCATTTTCTTCTTCCTCATGAGTGTGTTTAGTTTCACAAAGAGAACAGGTGGGATGTGGAAATTAGGCAATGCTAATGGTAACTGGCATTGCAATCAAGAAGATGTAAATTTTATCAAGAACACAATGTTCCATAACACAGACTCTTTCTTACATTCCTCCACAGGTATTTTTTTATAAAAAAATAATTTAAACAATTATGGCAAGCTTTTCTTTAAGCACTGCTTTTCTATTAACAGCATTCTAACATTTAATGAAACTTGTTGCTTTTGCTTTTAGGACAACATTGCATCTATTGGCATAGTTACAAATAGGCTGCATCATCTCTGTAGTGTGCTTGGCATAATCTATAAGCAGTATAGGCAGGGCAATACACACCTCAGGACCTTTGGTATATACGTGATGTACATCCACAAGAACACAGGTTACAAATGCTCCTTGGAGAAAGCACAAAAGCAGATGAGAAACCTGAGTTCTTTTCTGCCTGCGAACATCTGAGTTTTCCTCTGGCCTCTCCTCCAGCTAAATCAGAGCTAGAGACATGTGACTCTCAAAAACTTTATCCAGCAGTTAGCTTCCACCCTTCACCTCTCATTACCTTATCCAGCAGTTTTATCGTAAGGGATAGGAATACCTTTTAATTTCTCTGTCCTAGAGTTTTGGTTTTATATTAAAACATTATGAATTCCTACACACCCTGAAGTTTGCAGGCACAAGCCTATGAACTCCATGTGCCATATTCTTCTGGGAACAGAAAAGGAACAGAGCGGTTTAAAGTCAACAGATAATGCATTTCATGAAGAAATGCCATCATATGGCAAATGGTACCATATCCACTGTTGCTGTTCCAGTGCTGTGTACAGGACAACACAACTTTGGGAGCTGACAATTACAGATCATGATTTTCTCTCATATTTCAGAGACATCTGAAAAAGGACGTACTGCACAATAAAATGCACAAGTTTGGCCTGGAACGTATTGTCTGAGAGCCCTGATTCACAGCGACAAAGGCGAAGCAGTCTCAATGCCACACAAGGATGCTGAGCCAAGTTTAATCTTTGGTCTGAGAATCTGGCCCGTTCTCAAACATGAAAAAATCTTTCACTCTGACGGGGCAGGAGTGAGGAAATGAAGACAGGATAGCTCCTATCACCCAGCTAACATGTCTGGGCTGAAACGCAGGCTTCTGGGAGTGCTGCCATTGACTGTAACGGGGCCAGCATTTCACCCCAAGTCTTAAGGAGCTCACAATGTCAGATTCGACAGAGGAATAATGTAGCTTTGCAGCTGCCTCATCATCCCCACAAGACAATTAGTTGTTTGGCAAGGATCTTTTAAGAACGTCATTGAGACAGAAAGGGAACAGCCTGGATAGCCATGGACTTTTAAAAGCACGGGACGGAAAATACACAATGCCATTAAAACTTGAGAAAATCTGGAATGATCATTAAAAGGAATTAAGTTGGGAAGTAATTTATGACAAGAACACTCAAATCCTTTGTTATCTTCTCTTAACTATCATACGCTTCCTGCACACTGGGTATATGAGAGGGTGTGTTAACAGAAAGAAAGAAAAATTAAGCATAGTAAAATTAACTCGTTTTATCAATTTGTGCTTTCTGCAACAGTTTCCTGACAGCAGCTACAAGAGGCTGTAAAACTGATGAATTTGCATGGAAAAAGAAACCGGTGTAAGTAATTTGTGTAAAAGGTAACACGGACATGGACTGCTATAATTCAGACACCCTGCAGATAGCAGACTGCTGCAGTGTGAGCAGTTATGGGTTAGAAAAATGACCACACTGCAGTCAGTCTGACTTGAATGGAAATCAATCATAAAGGTACTCTCTGCAGCATCTACTCCACAGTTTTCAGCAACTTCCTTGCCAAACCGATTTGTGCTCCGTAAACCCTTTGCTGATCAATTCCTCTGCACCCTCTACCTACCAAAAACTAACTTACAAGTTAAATGTACTATTTTCCAAAAAGGAACATAAAAAGGCAAGCACCGAATTAAAGCATCATTCCTTTCTGAGGCACGATGAATTTCTTCGCCATTTCAAGATTTATGAAACAGTTTTATTCCAAACAGATATGGAAGAAAAACTGGTATCTGGATAAGGCTTCCCTTCTTTCCCTCACTACCCTCTGTTTATTGCTCTCTCCCCAAATCCTGGACCTTTCTGTTCCAACTCTCAAATAGGCCCTATAGCAAAATGAAATGTATCTCCAGACCTGGGGTGGGGTAGGAACAACGCATTGCTAATGCAGTGTAAACTCAGCACAAAGTAGAAAGGGCTAACCGCACGGTAATTTCCACCCAGGTAACAAACGCAAAGGATGCTTTGCTTGTCACAGGCCAAACCACCTTGCCACACTCAAGAGCTGGTTTGCAACCCGAGACTTAACAAAACCCACCTCTGATACAGAACACCAGATCTAAGCAGCAGAGGTTAAAGCGCCTGGCTGGCTTGTGGTGGCGAGTACCTGGAACTCCTTGGCAGTCCTTACACCTGAGCCACCATCCTGCTGCAACCAGCTCACGGTCTCTGGCCCCAGAAGTGCTGTGGCAAACGTCGCACAGGGCTAAGCTGTTCTGAAATCCCTTCTCCTGCTTGCCTGCCAGGCACATATTCCGTGCCTGTCTTTCAGTAAAGGGTATTTACACCTTTGCTCGCAGTTACCCCGTCTCCTATCATAAAATACAGCAAGGTGTCAACGTGTAGAGCCCACTCTGAGGCTGTCAGGAAGAGGTTAATGTTTTTCGTCTGCATGGCGGAAGGTCGCTTCCTCTTCCCGGCTGCGGGGAGCTCACTGCTTGGCATCTGCCTCCTCTAGTCACCCTTGTGTTTTGCAGTGCAACGCACCATGAGAGTAGGCACGATGCAGCTAGCCCAGCCAGGAGCATCTGAGCCTGCTCCAAATGGCTTTTCACACTGCCTTTGCAGACTGCCCACCTTGTACGGGCCCAGAAAGCTCATGCAAAGGGAACACTTGCATTTACTTGCAGGATTCCCCGCAAAAGCTGCAGCTCCAGAGAGTAAGCAAAGGGATCAAAGTGGCACAAACTGTGGCAAAACTCTGTCTAAATTAACCCTCTTCCTTGCAGCACGTGATGATCCACCGTGCGATCCCCCTAAACCCCTATTCCCACACCCCAGGAACAGGCTCTGGCCCCACGCAAAGCAGCAGCGTGGCTGGGAAGCTGCACTCCAGCACAGCTGACCCTTTACACGCTGCAGCCTGCAGAAACTCCAGGCCACCGACATTAAAACCACGCCATTTCCCCCCCTAAGAAATGCTCTGCAGCAAAGTGACCTTCTGATAGTTCAGGAACATCTCCCAAACAGGAAAGGATGTCAGAAATTGCAATTGCGAGTCAAAACAATAGTCTCCACCTACGTGGTGGCATCAAGATGTCATCTGACCCGGGGCTCCGACCTGGCGGGGGGCGAGGAGGAAGGCCCCCTCTTCCCCGTACACCCAGCCCACTGATGTGCACAGGCTTTCTAAGCAAACAAACTGATGCCGGCCTCTGCTCCCGTTTCAGCTGCTGGCATCACAAAAAAAAAAAAAAAAAATAGATCCCTGTGCACATGGGACACATTTCGCTCGCTCTCAGGGGCAGGAGGAGGCAGTTTCCCTAAAAGAGGAGGAGGAGGAGGAGGAAGGTGAGCGCCTCTGCCTGAGCACCAGTGCTGAGCTGCTTCTGGGGACATGGGGCAGCATTGCCCCTGCTGCCAGCCTGCTCCCTCCGCTGCCAGCTCGTTACCTCAGATCTTCACCCAAAATGTCAAGAAAAATAACAGAGAAATTAACAAAAAGCCCTCTGACTTAACCCAACTGGAATATTTATTTTGAAAAATTTATTGAATTACAGAACAGGAAACCCACTAAATAAAACCAGCCAGGCTGGCATTTGTCTTCCTTGGAATACTGCACTCTCTTTTAGTCATGTTAATCTTTAGTTTCTCTTTTTTCCATTTTTATGTATTTATTTTTACAAAGGGGCTGGGATGTGACTAAGATCATTACACGTGTAACGCTGCAGCAAAGTGATAATGTGTTTAAGGTTAAATGGGAGAAACATGACATTTGACTAATAAACTTTTTCCTGTGTTGTGACTCCATAAACAAAGGGAAACACACTGCGCTGCTGCTGTCGAGAGGAAAAGGGGAGCTGGGTGCATTTTTTTTGCAAGGCCTTTGTTTCCTACACACTGTATCGTTAGATCCAAAGAGGTTTTGTCGAATACAACAGATATGAAATGTGTGATGTTCATTTTAAAATTACAAGTACAGCCTGCTATTGACCATCTAATTATGCCGAGTTCCATTTATAAACATAGCTAACCACTAAGTTTATAGAGACTTTTTGTGCTGCTTTAATAGGATATTGATCGAGAGCAAGGTTTGAGTGGACTGCCATTGAATTGTGTAATGGCATACAAAAGGCAAGGTCACGGCAACTGTTCACTCTATGCCTGCAGTCTATTTTTTATTATAATCTTTTTTTCTTCCTCTCATACCCAGGCCCAAACAGTGTGTTTTGGATAGCAGTGCTTTGCTAAGGAGTATAAAGTATCTTTTTAAATGTTAATTTTCATGCTGCTGACTTTAACTACCTTCACTACTGTAATGTTTAGTATAGCAGAAAACATACAGGCTGCTGTTTAGGGAGAGCTGTGTTGTTATATCCCGGCTTCCACACACGTGCTCAGTGTGGAGGAGAGCCTCTTCTCTCCTGGGCTACAAGAAGGCAGCAGCATCCTCCCTGCCACCTGCCTGGCCCAGACCCACGGCAGGGGCCAGGGCACCCCACACCTTGCCACAGGCATCCAGCACGTGCTGGGGTTCACAGGACTTTCCCTGCACCTTGTTTCGGCTCTACCTGGCCACTGGATGAAAGGCATGAGGGAGCTGTGTTTCCTCCGTCACATCCACGCTTTGTGCCTGCAGTGGCAGCAATTACTTTCACTTCTAGCACTTGTCCGCCTGCCTCATGGCAAGGACAGCTTCAGCCCCTGCCTCCAGTGCTAAAGCTGCCGCTAACCACGTCTGGCACCCTCAGCATTGCAGGATACCGAGCTTTCCAAAATGCCTTGGCCACAAAAGCACCTCTTACCTGTGGAATTAGTGTAACTGTTTCAGGGATAATTAGCTGGACCATTTCTGTGTTTATACAGGAGCAGTAAGCAACTGCATGTACGCTTGTGTGCTTGTGGTTTCACTGGCTCATTAGAAGGATTAAAAGTCACCCCACTTGCTCCGTACAGCTCCTTCCTGCACACGGCTAACATCTTAAAACTCAAAGCGTGGCATTTTCAGTCCGGGGCGCAGTCAGAATTCCCTTGTTTATCAGAATGAAGAATGATGTCATTTTGACAAATAACACAGCACAAAACAAATATGTTTGATTTGGCTCTAGCGAATGTTCATAAATCCTAAATCTTTCTTCACATCCTGGGCAGTGCAGTTTATCTGGCTGCTTGAAGGACCTCCAAGGGAGGAGATCTTCCCAGCAGCTCTCTGCACAAGAGCACAGGATGCAGAATCAAAGCCAAGAGGGGAAAAGCATTCCCCATGCCTCTCTCCCTGCTCCAGCCTGCCACGGCCTCCCAGCCTCTGCCAAGTGAACGGGACTTCTATGCTTGGCACCATGGCCACCCCTCTGCCGGCACCTTTTGCAGAGGGTTTTCTCCAGTGCCCTGCAGACAGCTGCACAGTGAGTGGAATATTTTCCTAACAAGGGTAGAGAGGGACAAGGTTTTGCTTGGCTGTCAATTCACAAAACCCATACGTCTCCAACGCTTCTGCTTCTGAGCTTTTTGCTGTCAGCCCAAACCTCTCTGGAGATGGAAGAATGAAGTCTCTGTTATCTGAAGGGGTCTCCCCAGTATTTGGGGTGACAGACGACACTTAGAAAGGAGCTCACACCCTTTGCCTTCTAATAATGTAGAAGAACTGACAGCATGGTCTGCAACATCCACATCAAATGGGGTGGAGAGGGGACTGTCTGTTTTTCAGCTGAACATTTATGATCTACCTTCTCTATTTTACTAGGCTCTGCAAGATTCAGTAGCTCGGTAGCATTTCGAAAGAAAATCTGCATCTATAGGACTGAATAAAGCTAGTTTCTGTTACCAAAACAGTCTAGACTAGTTCAATAGCTCACAGAAACTGTGATGATCAGCACTGATAGGTAAGACAGATAATGGTAACAGCTGACCTTTTGCTTGATTAATTCATTCCCCAAATTTGCATGACGGAGACAACTGCCTATTACTTGAGACTCCTTGTCATGTGGACCTCTGGGAACTTTACTAAATAAACCTGGCACATAATTACTACCAACAATATTTCATAGGAGTAATTTTAGGTAACAGCAGCAAACCACAGGCCAGTTAAAACTGTGAGAAATCACTTATTTCTATGATCATATTACCAAAAGCAAGCATGCAAAGAAAAATGACAATGGGCATACCCAAAGATGACCTCTTTGTAAAGCAAACACAGAGCACATTTGGGAAGAGAGCAGAGACTAAACGTGAGGGCCCATGCTGGACAGGCAGGCTTGTTCCTTCCCTACCCATGGTGGCTTCTGAAGGAGCAATGACTTTTTAGAAAGTAAAACCAAGAGAACGGACTGAAGACATTTTGATTACTGAAGCTAGAGACTGTTAATAGCTGCTGGTGAGTCTGGATGATGGCTGCTCACAAGCTGAGCTCCCTAGCATGAAAGAAACCCATGGACGGGTGTCAAATCGAGACACAGGAACACGTAGACAACCCAGCAAGGGTTATGCTGAAAAGCAGACTCTTTAAAAGAGCTTGTCTGCCAATTTAGACAAATATACAGCAATTACTTTGTTGCTCTGTTATGTTAAATAATTCTTTGAATATTAGCATGAGAATTCATACTGACTTTGCTGGGAATTTGTTGCTAGACTCTACACTAACATATCCTACTGGGTAGCCGCGGCGTGTCAGGCTGTGGGCTTCTCAGACCTCACAAAGTAAACAAGGTTATGGCTGGTCAGTACATGTCTGGGGCATCTCCAAGGAAAATCCAGGGTGCTATCAAAAGCAGTGTAGCTAAATCAGTTGCTGGCACTCTTCCCTCTGAGTCAGTTCTGAAGTGCTATCCCGATATGCTTTGGGGACACTATTTTTGGTAGAGGTGCTGGCTTGCAGACAGGATATAAAACTGAGGTCTTGACCTCCCAGGATTATTAAAGAGCCCATGAAAAAGAGTGCAAACCCCTGTGTCTGGAACGGATAAAAGCTGAATCTCTTTACTTCACCCAACAACACCTTCTTTCTTATTTCCTATAAAGTTCATGCCTGTCCTGCCCTTCCTGCGTGCAGGTGCCCCATCCTTGGAGGTGTTGCAATTCAACGACAAGCAGAGGGAACATCTCAGACACAGATCATAGTTTGCAAAACATGCTGAGTGCTAGGATTTCTGATACACAATGTTTTAGTTTAGTTTCAATAAAATATCCTGGAAAATTAATAAGCATGAAACATGATGCCGATGAGTTCAATGCCAAACTCTCAGGGGGGCTAGGTCTGGGGCTGGCTGTGAAGGCTCAAGTCCCAAACGGGGGCACTTTCCTAGCAGCCCTGTCCTGCGCACACATGAAGCACGGCTGACAGAGTCCAGAGGCAGTTCTGCTGTGTAGGGCTCCTACAGTGAAGATAAGATTGTGGTGAAGTGGGATGCCTTGCAGAGGGGGAAGGGTGAATCCTTCAGCCTGAAATAAAGTCACTGAAATAAAGTGACATAACACGGAGGCATTTAAAGCCTGGTGATGACTTGGTTTTCTCCACTACACTGCAGGTACCAGCACACCAGCGTGCACAGTACAGTGAGTTAGATGTCAAAGTCCCTATTTAAGCCCTTCAGTAAGTGAACTGATTTGCAAATGTGCTGAGCACTCAGCAGCTCCTCTTGACTTCTAAGTCCTCTTAACTTTGTCCTTCTCACAAAATTCCCACCAGTTGTCAGGGAAGAAAACTCTGGAGAAATGGCTGCCTCTAACTTTTTCTCTCCCTGTCTCTCTCCAGGGTATGTAACTCTGACATTCATGTATCTCCCACTTGCCATGCTCTCCTTGTAGCATCCTATTTTTGAATATAAAGCCAATTTACTAGCTGGTGCAAGTCTTTCCGAAAGAAGAAACAAAACAGGAAAATCCTTACAGAAACTCTGTGTTCTGACTGAAAACCACAGATTCTCCGCTTGGTTTGTGCCAGTTAGATTCCAGCCCCAGAAGGACTTGAACTACGTGCTCAGAGCCAGTACACAAACAAATATTCCCACTATGTAGGAAGAGAACCATTTTTATCACTGTTTGTGCTAAAGAGATCAGTTACAAACCCTCAGGTTTTAAAGGGGCACATAGTTGAGTGGTTCACCTGGAGCAGTGCTAATTGGTGATGATGTGATGCTACTTCATTGCTCTACGCTAGCTGCAGTAAAACTCCCCAAAGGACTAGTACCTACAGCCCTGGCTTACCAGTAGTCTTTCTGCAAGAGACTGTCCATACTCTCTCCTTGGACTATCTGGATTATGTCATAGCAAAATACAATCAATGCACCTTTGATCAATGGAACAGGGTGGTGACAGGTACTCTTAATTCACTGTTGTTAGTGAGTATTGACAAGCCTGTAATGATCATGCTGCAGTGTGTCATTCATGCTGGGGGCATTAGCATTCTTTAAAGGTCAAAAAACAAATCTTTCTAGAAGACAGAATTCCATACAGTTAATGGAAAACGCAGGCCCTGTGAAGTCAAGATGTATGCCTCTGCGCAACTGAGATTATCAGGGCTGAGGTTGGCACAGTTGTTGGCATTATTAAGGAGTTCATTCATCAATTTGCAGGTGTACGAACAAGTGTACACATGGCACGGATGGACACAACATGCATACGCGGCCTAAGAAAATTTCCAGGCTTATGTGCACAGATCACGTCATTTCTAGAGGTCTGGTTAAAACACAGTCCTTGGATCCTGCAAGGGATCCTCTGGGAAAGCTGGTCTTTGCAGGCATTTATCTGCACTCTGATACAGAGTCTGTCTGTTTTCAGCTGGGTACCAGACAAGCTTATCAACTCACACATGCAAGTTTGCAGAATTAAAATTTTCTTATTTATTTTTAAAAATTACTCTGTTTTGTTTTGCCACATTAAAAGATGTGGCACATAAACACTGTCCACTGGTGAGAATCTGGGAGAAGAGACTCTCAAAAGATGCTGTTTCTGAGTTGTGGAAGGGGCACGATAAGAATCAAAGAAAAAAAAACCTGGGATTGCAGAAACCACATAAACTGGCCACAAAATGATACTTACTTTGTGAGACTCTTACTAGTTCAGTCACACTGAAAACACCTGATGTGACAAAACTGTCCTGGAAGCCCAAATGTCCTACAAAACAAACAGAGTGAGAGAACTGCGATTAGCTTTAAGCATTTAATGACAGTATTCTCAAATACTTTACTTTCATTTAGACTTAAAATGTGACATCCAATTTCCCACTTAGCAGTAATTATTGTTTATGTAGGTGGGTAACTAGTCATACAGCTATGTAGGCTGCTTTGTGGTTTCTATCTAGAGGTTAGGAAAGCTAACATGACACATCAGCAGGGAGATTTTTACAAGTTAAAGCATCTCAACAGGAAATCTGAAACAAAAGAGGACTATTTTAATAAACGGTTACCTTGGATGACCCCTAATGACTTCACAATTGAAATGAAAATACTGTACCTAGGAAACAGACAGGACAGCTAAGTTCCATAATCGTTTTAAACATTATTCTCTAAAGAAACATCTGATCAGGATTATCTACCCATTCATTCAAACAAAACAAGATTTAAAGATGTACTCTTCATTTTCTAAGGTTACACTGGGGAAATCTTAAAATACCAGCTGGTTAAAAAAATTAAATTAGTGCCTTTCCCACAACAAAAAAAAAAAAAAAAAAAAAAATCCTAACATTTAAAACTAGCTTTTGAAAAGAAAAATAAATCTCTGCAGAAGAAAAGTATTAACTTTGAGCTTTGGACTGTCTTTAGGAACCAGGGCGTATGCTTCCACGCTCGCTTCCCTTGTGCAAGGAGTGCCTCTACACTTGGTATCAAAATGTTATTACACTTTACATAACAGTATTTTCCTTCTTCGCCGAAAACATGCCTACCACCAAATGTTCATTTAATTTTCACGGGTATGATCAATTACAAAAGGAGCAGCTTTTGGGCTGCAACCCAGTGTAAGTGTGCAGAGTGGGATACACCAGTTCACGCGGGATGTATCTGGACTTCAATTAGAGGTCCGCGGTTAGTCGGCCGGACTGACCTCCTGCTTTTGAAATCAGGGTCAAAGGAGAAATCTCAGGATAAAGAGATTATTAAAAGAACTGTAAAGTCCTACTTGTCCACGGGATAAGTGGCATACCTTTTTAGGTTGTCCTACTTAGAGTCACTGATTCCAGTGCACGCACACATTTATTATTGAATGTTTTGCAGGGGCACCATCTGCTTTGTTGTTAATTGTTTGTGAGATTCAGTACAATTTCCCTACGTTCAGTATATTTTGCCGTACCCCACGCTCATCAAGGCAATACCCGTGCACCTTCCTGCAGTGACCACAGCTATCGGACTAATGCAAGCTGCATATTTGTTCTCCTCTCTTTCTTTTGGGGTTATTTAAAAAACTCCACAACATATCCCACTGCCATTTCTACCTGCAGAATGGGTATTAAAAGAAATATGTCTTGTGTGCAGGACTCCAGAGGAGAATGTGTCAGGGAAAGGTTTGGGAGAGATCTGGAGGGAGGTCAGCCGTTCTTCTCCAGCCAAGATCTCAGAGAATTCTGCTCCTCTGCAGAAGAACTTCCCTGTTTCCATCAGGATCCTACGGTGCCAGATGAACGCAGTCGCTAAGCTAGCAGACTTGAGACAAGTTTCTGCATCAGGCATGTTTTTATACTTCAGCAATAATGATGAGTTTTCAAAATGTGTATATGTATATCTTTGGGCATCCTTGTGTATGTGTGTATACATATGTATTATGTACACAAACATATAAATATACACAAATCTGTCATGCTCCAGCTGTAGATAAATGTACTATAAAATATTGAAATTGATGCTGAAATTCAACACAAACAAATTCCTCAATCTGCAAACAAGGTTTTTATTTACATCAAGAGAATAAATTTTTCTCTACTTCAAATGAAAAAATGTTCTTACAAGCTTTTATTTTTCCTTATTTTCAACTTAGAAATAGCTCTCAGATAATTGTAAATGCTTTTGCTTGATCTGCTTTATATTTTACCATAATAAAGGTGATGACTACATCATTCTGCTTTTTAGAAATGGTTGCTGGCCATACACAACGTTTGTTCATTGACAATTTCCCAAGTATTTTTAATATGAAGATCTACTTTTCATATGCTGCAGCAGACCTGCCTATTGAATTAAATGATCTGTGAATTAAAAATAATTCTCTTAGGTCTTCACTGAAACCACTCATGTGCCTAAAATTAAGCATATGCTTAAGTGCCTTGCTGGATCAGGGCCAGGATGCTTACTACTCCGCAGAGCCCTTCGTAGGGAAGCCAGTCTATGCTATATAACTTCTCATACTGTGCTCATCATGGCAATATCTGACCAACTTCCAGAAGTGCATTCAGCGATGCTCCCAACATCTGCCATGTGTTGTTTTTTTTCACAGCGCACCATTCTGGCTCTGCTCTGGTGTCCACTTCCACCTGCATTTCTCAGGCAGGTTCCTATCGCACTAAGAGTGATGGTGAAATTTATACGTGGAAGTAAAAAACAAATCGCAGCTACGATAGGCATTTGGCTCATTTTTTACGGGAAAGTCTAGAGTCTTTTGTAATCATCCGATAAAACCACAATTGTAGCATGGCCAACCATGTTACTTTAACCTAGCAAACACAGGTAAAATCAGAAATGAAAAATGCCATAGAATGGTTTTAAATACGATCTAGCTCTGAGGGTCCCACAGGGCATAAGAAAAGTTGAGTAAGTTAGCTTGGGCCTGCTAACTTCATTCTTTATAAAGTCTTATTTTGCTGGGTATCCTTGCAATGCCCACTTAGTTCTGTAGGAACGTTTCGATGCATGTGCATGTAACAGTAATCATTAAACAACAGCACGCAACGGGAGTGATTAGATTTTCATCCTTCAATACTGAAAATAAACATTTCACAAATGAAAAGCCGAATTTCACAATTCTCCAATTTGTTATTTACTTATAAACATTAGGAAATCAGGGGCTTGTCTCGCCAATCATTAATAATATCTTGATACCCACAAAAGCGATGCCCTTGGCTTAGAGTTGTATCTTGAACGCATTTCGATGCATGGTTGGTCTGTGAATTCGCAGTTCAGCAGAACTCCATGAAAGTTTAAAGGTTTGCCTGGATGGTTCAGATTGCAAAATCCAGGCCTAAGACTGTAGCTTTTGCTGAACTGTGGTAACAGTGCAACAAGAAAATGAGAGAAACAGGACAAAGAAGCTAGACACATAAAAGAAGAGTGACTGGGAGATAGCAGAACTGACAAAATACGTGAAGTAAACATTTTGTGCCTATTAACAGGGGTCAAAATGCAAAAATACATCAATTTGGCTGTTCCACTTAATTCTGAATGAGAAAAAAAATAGGTAAAAAGTCAGGCAATTACATATGCAGATGTTAGCATTAAAAAGCTCCTTTACTGAAAAGATGATTAAACATCTTGAAAGCTTGCAAGATTTACTTTTGATACCGCACTTTACTGAAATACGTGTGGTGTGATACTTTTGCTAAATATCCCAAAGATAGGACATTGAAATTGCTGTATACGATCGGGTTATCTCTGCAGCTTTGTGTGACAGTCACATTTTGGTAGTGAAGCAGGTGTTCAAAATGAGGATGAGAGAATTTTTACTCACTTTATAAAAAAATAACTGAGCTCTTTCACTGAAATTCTGGGTATAAATTAAGACACCTGGCTAGCCAAGGCAGGCCCTGACTCAGCAAAGCAGTTTGAGCACGTGCTTAATTTTAATCACATGCTTGACTAAAGCACATGCTTATTTGCTCTGCCAAATAAAGATGGGCTGACAAAGTTAAGCAGGTATTTAAATATATTGTTGAATCACTGCCTTCGACTCAAGTTTAGGTCCAGCTAGGAGTTAGCTCATTACACAAGACCTCACTTCGGCTCACAAAGATGATCATTTTTCCCCCAAGGGAGAAAAAAAAAAACCAGGCAAATTGAATAAAGCAGATCAGGACACTAATAAATAATATGCCATTACCCAATGGCATTTGGTATAGCATACAAACGCGATTGCAACGCTCCCATAGCAAGTACCACATGAAAAACATCTTTCCAAAACTTGATGACCGCTTTAACTGGGGAGAAAATTCATAATGCGATTTACATATTCTTTTAGATCTCAGTAAAGAATCCAGAAGAAAAGGCTTGAATTGCTGGAGCCTAATTCTGATCTCAAAGAAGTTTTAAACAAGTCTTTCTACACTGATCAAATAGAGTTTCACCTAATTTTCTCCTAATTTACACTGGCAGAGGAGAAATCAGGATTAGGACTTGTTGTCTAATGCTATTTGTTTTGAATTATTAAGCAAACATTCCTATTTCAATGAGTAAACGTGTACAAAGGCAACTAACCTTCGTCCTAAAATCTAGTTTACAGGGAGAGTATTGTCTGCTTTCCCAATTAATGCTGTAAAAAGGAGTCTCAGACGTTGAGCTACCAATCAAGAGCTTGTGTTGTAGCTTGAGAAAATCATGACTGATGCAATTACTTTTATGTAGAAAGTCTGAATATGGTCTATAGGTTAAAGTTCATCGAGTTATTGTTCCTTAATTGAATATCAGAAGATGTTTTCAAGGTGCTCACGGTATTATTGTTATTTAATTAGCAGGCTTCCTTGTGTAATCCAACAGTATTATTTTTATTATAAAATAGTTAGACTGCACCATAAATATACAAGGTATTTTCTAAACAGAGATACAGCTGGTTTCCTGAAATCCAAGCGTAAATAAAAACAGGAAAGAGTTACTCCTTTGAAGATGAAAAAGTCCAAATCCAGTTATTTCTCTTCCACTACAGTCCATGGGACAATGTATTAAGCTTTGGAGAACAGCTTTATGGGAGACTTTAATTCCTTTTCAGCATTTTGAAATTACACAAGTCCCCCAAACTAGCACTGAAGCCATTTCTAAAGCCTTTTTCATGTTCAGCATCTCACTATACATAGCCATCTTAAAACCTTAAAATAGTAATAATCAATTAGGGTCTCAAGCCTATTATCTTAACCAAATGCCTGATTAAAAGAAAAGCCCTCTCTGCTCAAACTGCAACTTGATTCCTTTTGGTTTTATCCTCTA